ATTCGATAAAGGTGGCTACTATTATTTTGTCTGTCAGTACAATGATTCGATAAAGGTGGCTACTATTATTTTGTCTGTCAGTACAATGATTAGATAACGGTGGCTACTATTATTTTGTCTGTCAGTACAATGATTCGATAAAGGTGGCTACTATTATTTTGTCTGTCAGTACAATGATTAGATAAAGGTGGCTACTATTATCTTGCCGGTCAGTACAATGATTCGAGAAAGGTGGCTACTATTATTTTGTCTGTCAGTACAATGATTCGATAATGGTGGCTACTACTATTTTGTCTGTCAGTACGATGATTCAATAATCCCATTCCAACAAAACATAAAGCCACCCATACTGAAGTTGCTGCATCCCTCATGGTATATTGGGTGTACACATCCTTATGCTGTTCCCAAACACATACACCTGATGGAAAATGGTGTTAATGCTGTATTTGAATTCACAGTTTGCATTCACTGCACCAGTACATGTAAAAGCATAAACTTCTTGAAATGATCAGCGACATACGTGTAACTCGGTGATGAAAGAATTAGAACAAAGGATCATCACAAAATCAAGTGGAGTTAAAAATGACCCAGAAACTGGAGTGCCTTCAAAGAGTTTACTATTTTTCTTCAGGAGTAAAAGACATAAAGAGTGTGGGGTAATAAATTTGAAAAAAATGTACACGTCACGTGAACAGTAAGTGCTCATGGAGGTGGAAATAAAGCTGACCGATCCTGATTGATGTGTTATTAGAGAACAGAAATGTTAAGGGCATGTGTTAATTCAAGGAAAAAACAGTATGGTGAAGGTTGAAAGAGTTACGTGCTTATAAACAATCATAATATTAACTATTGTTTAATATATTAAGATGCAGTAAGAAATAGGGGTGAAATTCTGCCCGCACTCACCGGTACTGAATACTGGAACTTATTTTTTAAGGTGCTACTAGTACCGGGACTTACTTGAGCTGTTTTGTAAATTTTTTTTTTCTTTTTCAAAAACAGGTCTACTTCACCAAGTTGAGTATCTCTATTTTTTTTATTTTTTTTGAGAACTATTTCACTCCTGGTAAAAACCATAAGATCCTGATAACGATACATTTGGTGGAATGGCCTTCTGCCTGGAAAAAGTATAATAATTACTATTCAACCTTTTAAGCTACACAATGGGCTATATGAGTGTCCACCATAGGGAATCAAACCCCGCATTTTAGCGTTGTAAGTCCGTAAACTTACAGCTGACTTACTGGGGAGACATGCACCTTGTGGACTAACGAATTCAGGCTAACAACTGAATGTTCTTTGTTACCAAGTGTCAAAATGCAGGAGATCTTTCTATGAATGATATAAATGTGTAAAGCTCAACTTATAAGTGTTTCTTCTGAAAAACGAGCACGAAAATCAGAAATGTCCATTTGGAATTAACAAATAAAAAAGTCCTAATTTAGTTACGAATTTCTTTTGTCCACAAGGATTTAAATAAGCCTATTTGGTTCACATTAAAACAGATATCTTGTTCATTAGAACTAACTCGTATCTCAATAACACTGACTTTCTCTTGCAAAACTGTTTTGAAAGTTTGTGGCACAAAATACATGATGGCTTAAGTGATAAATATGATATTTAAAAATTAACGAGATAACGCATATATATTTTTAAGAAAAAGTGAAACTCCTTATAGTTGAAAGTTACAATCAATCAACCGTGCAGAATAAAACTCAGCTGCACAGTAGAACTCAGGTCAACTTAATTCACTAACAACAACAACTTGTAGCATTTGGATGCATGACCTTGAGGTCACAACAGATCGTACTTTATTTACTTAAAAAAGAATTGCAGGCAGTAAAACAAGTAGTCAACATATAGATCATGAAAATATATACTTGGGATTTTAGGGTATTTGAGAATGTACTTAGGAATGTTACACAAATAAACTTTGTTCAAAGCAGCAAAGTTACATAGTATTCTAGTGGATATATATATATATATATATACATTAATCTCACTAAACAATATAAATGTTATGACTAGTGGTTAGGTATGTTTATGTTGGTTATGAATACTTGAATTCAGCTAAACATTACAGTAGTTAGCTTTAGTACATTTGGTAGAGTATTACAATCCTGTTGTTCTTTTTCCCCCATTAGTTTTATTTTTTAAACAATTTTTTAACCATTCATAACATCCATGGCAACCTTGAAAAATAAGGTCTCCAAATTATTCTTTATAAATTGGACAGTCTATTTTTGATGACATTTCCGTATAGACAGTTTTAAGTTGGGTGTAATCGTTCAGTGCAGCTAAGCCGTTCTCACGACCGAAACCTGACATCTTGTATCCGCCAAAAGGAACTTCGGGAGGAAACACATTGCAGTTATTAATCCACACAATACCGGCCTGCAGCTGGGCTGAAACACGGTGAGCACGCTGGAGATCTCTGAAAATGCAAGGTAATTCACTTATTGAACTTTTCCATTAATTTATAATAAGAAACTCAACATGCATAACAAAACTTAAAATAAATTACTACTCATTGTAACATTAGATTTAGCATATTTCACAAAGTCCACAAGATAGAAGATATAATTAGTGCATAAATTATTGAAAACGATCTTTACATCATCGGACTGTATACATTTTAAAATTAGTCTGAGTGTATGTGTATGTGTGTGTTTTGTCATAGCAAAGCCACATCTAGCTATCTGCTGTTTCCACCGAGGGGAATTGAACTCCTGATTTTAGCTCTGTAAATCCAAAGACTTATCGCTGTCTCACCAGATGGAAAAATTAGGCATATATATCTTACAGAAAAATGTGATATCCTAAAGAATACTTTATTTTAACTTCTTTATAATAGTTTTTCTGTGTGTCCAAAATATATAAATTCACATTCATGAAACAAAGAAATATCTCATATCTGATTTTTTTTGACAATCCACATAAACGATCAGCCAAGCAAACATTTATCTCATAATGTAAACTGGACTCAGTACCTGATAATATAATTTTAAATATTTCCTTTTACTGTAATGTTTGCACTAACAAAGACATTACTTTTAAATATAGAATTAACCACGAAAGCCTAGGTTTTTTGTCTTTTATCACAGTTCCTACTGACTAGCTGCTAACCAGTGCTGATCAGGTACTAAAATTAATGTTTTAATGAAGTAGTAAAGAAAGTCTGATATTTCTATTTTTATGAACAAGAAAATCTAGATTTCTGGTCAGAGGGAAATAATTTTGTATTTCAGACAGATGGAAAACATCGTAGCATTTGAATCAGTTAAGACATAAAGACAGTAGTAACTTTGCCAAATGGCAAATATACTCCAGAATTTTAATCAAATACTTAAAAAAAAAGAGTAGAACTTTAACCAATTGACAAAAAAATTTAAAGTTTTGAGAATTGTAGTGAGGCACTTTTGATTTTGATGTTAGTTGGAAATCAATCTGAAATTAGGAAAAGTACAGTTTCTGAGCAAAGTGAGATTACTTCTAAAATGTGCCATTAATATAAAATGAAAAACTATTTACTTTGTCATCACTCCAGCTGCTAGCCCGAATGGAGTGCTATTAGCTCGTGCTATCGCTTCTTCTTCAGTATCAAAGGCCAAAATGGTGACAACAGAGCCAAAGATTTCTTCTTTCACACAAGTCATGTCATCATGACAATCAGTCAGGACACATGGTGATAAATAATAACCACCTGCTAGTTTTGTGTCACTTGGATTGATTCGTTTCCCGCCACACAGTAAACGTGCTCCCTTTAGAAAACAAATGTATACTTCAATAAGGAAGCACATTATGTTAATATAATAATACATAGGCAAACAATAACTTATAAGCATAAGGAAAAGTTCTATTGATGTTGGAACATACAACATGTTTTGTCGTTCTTTGCCAACCTATTATAAAACAAATCTAAATATTTTTTTTCAAATACAGTTTAAAAAAAACTATCACATTAACAGTACCTGTTTTTTGGCCTCATCAATATAATGAAGCACTTTTTCTGCATGTTCCAGCGTGATGGTTGCTCCTACAGTCGTCTCATTGTCAAATGGGTCCCCAATGACCATTTTCTCACAAGCAGTAACAAGCTTTTCTTGAAAGTCTTTCAAAATAGGACGTTCCACAAACACTCTCGTGCAGTTGCTACAAACCTAAGGACAACAAAAGTAGACAGTTTCTTAGTCACCTAAAGGGTTCACGCAACTTTCCATACAATAAATAAAACTTTTACTGACTAATTAATTCCTAAACATACACTGTTTAAAATATAAATATTTTATTTCTGTGATTTTTTTAAAAATTGGAATGCTTCAACATAAACAAGTTTCAGTAAAAACAAACATAAAAAAACATTTTTCATCACATTACTGGTCACGAGTGCAACATGGAAGATTTAAAAAAAAAAGACTAATTTTGGACTAAGTGGGTTTGATTCACTTGGACATTTTCATCCTGATACATTTATATTTCAATAAACTACTAACACTCTTGTTTTAATTGAATTAATTGCAGAGAATAACCAGTAAAATGTCAACATCATCCAGACTTTGCAAGTTTTAACATGGCTAAAACTGAGGAAAAAAATTCAAATAGTTTATGCACAAAGGAATGAAAAATTAATGTTTTACATAACATGAATAAAACTTAACAGTATGTTTCTCAAAATAAAATATTAAAGCATTTCACTTTCTTGCAACTTGGAAGCTAAAGTTTAATAAGAGGATGGGATGATCTAGAAAAACTTCTAGGTGGAAGAATAGTATCAGATGAATAACTTCAACATCAAGCAGGTTCCATATATCTTTAGAAATAAGCAAACAGGATCATTGTCAGAGTCAGGAATAGAGCTGGTTGGAAATAAGAGATCTGCATGGAAATGTTACGGCCAAAAATGTGTGAATAAGGGCAAGCTTTTCAGCTTTACAAAAGATTAAAAGACTTGGAAAAACAAATGAGATAAAGTACAAATGTAACATGAATTGCCAAAACACAGGTTAATATACATGTACACAATAAATATGGATAAGGTTACCTGGCCTTGAGTTAGAAAATTTCCTAACATAGTTGCTTTGACTGCTTCTGTAAGATCAGTGTCAGCAAAAACCAACATGGGTGACTTTCCTCCAAGCTCTAATGTTACTCGTTTCATTCCATCGGCACAAGCTTTCATGATTTTCTGCCCTGTAGGGACACTTCCAGTAAAACTAATCTTGGCTACACCAGGATGCTGACAGAGTGCTTCACCAGTAGAACCAGCACCCTTGAACAGGTGTAACAAGTTTATTTACGAACAGAAATTATTCCAAAAAAAAACTTGATAATCATAACATCTACAAGCTTGTGAATATAGTGACAAAAAATCTTAAAAGAAACAAAATTACATTTATTTCAATCAACTTACACACAAAAAGTGGGGGATCAAGAATTGATCTGATTTTAATATATTTCATTTTATCAATTCACGATAGTGGATCTGTAAGCACATGTGAATAAGTTAAATAACAGGGACAAAGTTAGTGTAAAACAATGAAAGTTTTAAAAGAAAGAGGAATGATAATGCAACATATGTGTGAGAAACAAAAACAACAAACCTTTAACACTTAACTACATTTTTCACAAAACAAAGTTACAATTTTGTTCACAGCACAGACTTATGGGCTTGTACTAAAATGAGGCTTTGAACATTTGAAGTATCTAAAAATGGATGATTATTCAAGTGGTTATTAAAAAGAAAAATGTATTTAATTTAAAAACTTAAATATGTGTGTATTTAACAAAAGTATTTAATTTTTTTTGCAACGTTCAAACACTATCAGAGTTAGAGTAATGACAAAAATATGCACGACCCAATTTACCCCACATTCTATTTATAAAATCTCATTACATACTACGGACATTAAACATATTATGAACACAAAACTAAAACCATTAAGTGAATTTTATGTTCACTTGTAAAGTAAATATTAAGGATAGTGATAACTGTAACAGTGTAAATATTAAGGACAGTGATAACTGTAACAGTGTAAATATTAAGGATAGTGATTACTATAACAGTGTAAATATTAAGGATAGTGATAACTATAACAGTGTAAATATTAAGGATAGTGATAACTGTAACAGTGTAAGTATTAAGGATAGTGATAACTGTAACAATGTAAATAATAAGGATAGTGATAACTGTAACAATGTAAATAATAAGGATAGTGATAACTGTAACAATGTAAATAATAAGGATAGTGATAACTGTAACAGTGTAAATATTAAGGATAGTGATAACTGTAACAGTGTAAATATTAAGGATAGTGATAAATGTAACAGTGTAAATATTAAGGATAGTGATAACTGTAACAGTGTAAATATTAGGATAGTGATAACTGTAACAGTGTAAATATTAAGGATAGTGATAACTGTTACAGTGTAAGTATTAAGAATAGTGATAACTGTTACAGTGTAAATATTAAGGATAGTGATAACTGTAACAGTGTAAATATTAAGGACAGTGATAACTGTAACAGTATATCATTTCATACAACTTTTATGTTGTTTTAGACAGAATTATATCATTACTTCTAGTTTAACTTAACTGTGTAGCCAAATAACATAAGAGGCTGTAGGTCACAGCGATTTCCATATGCCACCAGCTGATAGGGCCGAGAGAAAACAGCTAAAAGTAGGTTTACTTTTACTCTGTGTTGACTGCGATAATGCTTTGGTTGATATGTCGTTTTTGGTGATGTCTGGTGTTGTGTGCATTTTTATGTTTGATGAAGGAGTCACGTAGGGAATAAGTTTGGGAAGCACTGCAGTTGGATGTAAAAATCCCCACAGACAAGATGGACAAGAAAACAGCTAAAAGTAGGTTTACTTTTACTCTGTGTTGACTGCGATAATGCTTTGGTTGATATGTCGTTTTTGGTGATGTCTGGTGTTGTGTGCATTTTTATGTTTGATGAAGGAGTCACGTAGGGAATAAGTTTGGGAAGCACTGCAGTTGGATGTAAAAATCCCTACAGACAAGATGGACAAATCCTTCCTAGGATTTAATAAACAAAACTAGAAACTTACCTGAATAACATTAACTACACCAGGTGGGACACCAACTTCTGTTAAAATCTCACCAAAGACAACAGAAGTGACTGGTGTAAACTGAGAAGGCTTGTAAACAAAAGTGTTTCCACAGGCCAGAGCAGGAGCGGCTTTCCAAGAAATAGTTTGAAACGGGTAGTTCCAAGCACCAATTCCACCAACCACTCCTAGAGGCTCTCTCCGAACAACAGCAAAATTCCCACCAGGAAGCTGATAGTGAAGACCTATTGTAACAGAGAGAAATAATTTATCACATTTACAGTTTGTATAAATAACTTGAACATTCAAAATTCATGTTGAAGTTGAGATCACTCAGTATTAGTTTTCCATTTTCAATCTTTAATGGTATCTTAATTAGTTTGCATAATTTAATTTTTATGTAGCAAGAAATGAGTGTTATAGTTCTGAATCAGAATGAGGATGTTCTTGTCTAAAACTAAAATTTCTCAAGTCCAGAACATTTCACTTGAAGACACATTTGATGCAAAAAACAAAAAAAAGATTTGAAAGCAAAGATTTCAAAATGAAATAACAATAGACTATTAAAAAGTGTATTCAGATTAAAATATTTTTTTTTACCATTTGAAACTAGCGTTGAGCAATTACCTTTTAACAGTTTGATTCAATATTTGTATAAAATCCTCAATTACAATTATCAACTATAGCGAGCCGTAGGGTGATAATCTGATTACATATGCTCAAGTTGATGCGATAAACCTTTTTTTTCTTTGACCCTGAACTATGACCTGGAAGATAAAATATATAATGTCAAAGCTGTCTTACAGAAAACTTTATCTCAACAGTGGACACTGAACAGGGGCAAATGGGTTTAACATTTATTTCGGGTGAGAATGAGGTATTCCCTGGCAAAAGAAACCATGAGACGACGAACCTGATGGGAGGTGACATGAAAAAGTTAAGAGATGTCACTAGATGAGTTGCGTAACACAATCAGACAAAAAAGCAATCCTGCAGGAAGAAAAAAAAACAATGTAAACTGTCACAGGGAGCAGTATGGGTGAGATAAGAATGAGCTACCTGTACAGGACAAAGAAGAAAGGGTTGGGATGGGAAAATCATCTGGTCATCCTCCCAGGCAGCCAAAGTCTTGTGGAAGAAAGAGCAGTTTGGGAATATAATCAAACTGTCCCTGGAGTGCAGGAGTGACGTCTCCCACAAAAAAGAAGAAAATACATCTTCTTAGGAAAAGATGGTACAGAAAACAGGTAGCCAAAAATGAACATATGGGAGCCTTAAAACTCAATAGAGGTTCTACTCAGGAGGAGGAACCAGATGTGGAAAAGGACTGATGAGAAAGACTTGGAAGAGGTACATAAGAACTGGAGAAAGAAAAGAAGAACAGTTGGGAAAGAGACGGAAGGTCACTGATGTGTATACAGAAAGAGACTAGACCAATCCCGATTCATGATATCCACAGACAGAGCTGCAGAGTCTTGGGCTTATGACCAGAAAAGTGGAAAACTGGTAGTTAAGGGAGTTGCAAAGGCATTGTTGAGAATACTCCCAGAGTGATAAAGTATAAAGACCTGTGGGAAGGGTCCAGTATTGTCTAGACAGACAATCCATCACCAAGTTAAAAGCTCCCAGACATGACAGGCCGACAACTAAAATGTTTAAAATTTTGTTTCTTTCCTTCTCAAAATAAAAAAAAGTAAGAAAGACTACACTGACCAATAATTAAAAGTTTAAAATAAAAAGCCCAAATAGTCTGTAATTCTTAGTGATAAAAACATACATGAAGGGAAGAACCAGAAGCAAGGACAGGTGGTGGAAACTGCAGATAAAAAATCATCATTAAGAGTATTTATTAGGAGAGATACTTGTAAACTTTATAAGATATCCCTAACACTGGACAACCAACTAAAGCTTTCACCACAATATTATGTTTCTGAGAGCTTTTATTAGAAACTAACTGTAGATCTTACAGAACATCCCTAACACTGGACAACCAACTAAAACTTTCACCACAATATTATGTTTCTGAGAGTTTTTATTAGAAACTAACTGTAGATCTTAAGAACATCCTTAATGCTGAACAACCAACTAAAACTTTCACCACAATATTATGTTTCTGAGAGTTTTTATTAGAAACTAACTGTAGATCTTACAGAACATCCCTAACACTGGACAACCAACTAAAGCTTTCACCACAATATTATGTTTCTGAGAGCTTTTATTAGAAACTAACTGTAGATCTTACAGAACATCCCTAACACTGGACAACCAACTAAAACTTTCACCACAATATTATGTTTCTGAGAGCTTTTTATTAGAAAGTAACTGTAGATCTTACAGAACATCCCTAACACTGGACAACCAACTAAAACTTTCACCATAACATTATGTTTCTGAGAGTTTTTATTAGAAACTAACTGTAGATCTTACAGAACATCCCTAACACTGGACAACCAACTAAAATTTTCACCACAATATTATGATCCTAAATTCCTACAGCCTTTATTAGAAGTTATATAGAAGATATTCCTAACACTGAAGAATCAATTTAAAGTTCCCAATACAATATATAATATAAAATAAAATTAGTACCCCAACTAAAGATGATTACAAAATTTGAAACTCTAAGAAATAACTTATGGATACCAAGCCTACTTTACTCTATAAGTTTCAGAGTTCAGATGATGTTTGTTCATTTGTTTGTTATGGATTTCGTGCAAAACTACACGAGGGCTATCTGCACTAGCCGTCCCTAATTTAGCAGTGTAAGACTAGAGGGAAGGCAGCTAGTCATCACCACCCCCTGCCAACTCTTGGGCTACTCTTTTACCAATGAATAGTGGGATTGACCGTCACATTATAATGCCCCCACAGCTGAAAGGGTGAGCATGTTTGGTGTGACGGGGATTCGAATCCGCGACCCGCAGATTGCGAGTCGAGCGCCCTAACCACCTGGCCATGCCGGACCAAGAGTTCAGATGCTGGATCAATCACTCTAATGAATTTCTGTTACGTTATGTGTTTTTCATCACACAGAAACAGAGAACTTTCGACCAGCATTTATTTAAAAGTTACGCTTTTATCTGTCATCATTGTAAAGGGTTGGTAAAATAATTTAATTAAAATATATAAAAAAAAAGTTGAAGCTTAAAAAAAAACAAGTTTGTGTTTCAATTTTTTCATAACCAACTGTGCACTTAGATTTTTGTTACTTAATAAATAACCCTGATAATTTTAGTCACTGAAATAACTGATAGAAGGAGGAATAGACAGCTGAAAAAAAATGTTCTTACCTCCAACTGTTGATGCCACTCCCCCATAATATTCTAAGTAATCGGCACATCCTGAAAGGTCAACACGAGCTTCCCACACAGGCTTTCCTGTGTCTAAAACTTCCAGCTTTGCAAGTTCTTCTAAACGTTCCTAATAAAACAGTATGATAAAAAAACAATATTTTCTAAACATCATGAATTAGTAAGAGACACATACTTCAAAGGTATCTTTCTACAATATCTGTTATAAACATATATGAATATTTTACACAACCCCAAGAAAACTGTTCATTAACTGGTAAACTAGTAACTCATACGTTCATTGCTATAAAGCATTTTATAGATCGGTGGAAACTATTTATACATCACTGTCACTATATTTGCTTAAATAAAGGAATATTCTTTGAAAAACAGTATTTTATAAACCAATTACATGTAAACAATAACTGATATATTAACTTTTTTTTATTAGTTTTAAAAGTTTTCACTACTAACTGAAGGATGGAATCCATATGACTCAACATGTCAGTATGTTATTGATGAGTTAACATGTCAGTATGCTATTGATGAGTCAACATGTCAGTATGCTATTGATGAGTCAACATGTCAGTATGCTATTGATGAGTCAACATATCAGTATGCTATTGACGAGTTAACACGTCAGTATGCTATTGACGAGTTAACACGTCAGTATGCTATTGACAAGTTAACACATCAGTATGCTATTGATGAGTTAACATGTCAGTATGCTATTGATGAGTTAACATGTCAGTATGCTATTGATGAGTCAACATGTCAGTATGCTATTGACTCTGAAGTTGTTTATGTCAGTATGCTATTGATGAGGATAATTTATACCTGAGAGACTAATTTATTAATTTATATACAAACATGAAATGTTTTTTCCTTACCCTAACTTTCTGAGCAGCGGAAATTAAGAAACGGCCCCTTTCTAGACCACCTAATGCTGACCACTGAGCAAAAGCTGCTCTGGCAGCTTGAACAGCTTTGTCAACATCCTGTTGTCCAGAGTTTGGGATAGTGCACAGAACTTCTCCTGCCGAACATGAAAATAAAGTGATTACCTTTCAAAACAAGACCACGAGTAGTAGTAGGAGAACCCATTTTTTAATTAAGAAAATTTTTAATCCTAAAGATTTTTATTTACTCTTAATATTATGTTGTTGTTTTTTCTGGTGTCACAACAAAGCTGTAAATTTCCATATGTCCTAGAAAAATAAAAAAAGCATTATATATATATAAATAACTCTAATACTAATAGTTACATTGTTAACAGGTGATGAAATCAGCACTATAAAACAATAATGACATCAAGTTGACAACTAAGACCGACAAAGGCAATTCTCTTGTAATGTTCATTTCATATATGTACATATATACACACATGTTCATACCTTCTTGCCTGAATATAATGTGCACCCAATTTTGAATGGTTAGACATTTGTTTTTTTACACATCAGTTGTGCAAAATGTATTGAACCATTTCTAAATACAGTAAATAATTATTGATGTATTAAACATTTTGGGAAATCTTTAACTGAAATTTTTTTATGTGTCAATTTTACAAAATTTATTGAAAAGTTTATACGTAGTAATACACTAATTTATTCATTCATCTTCACATAAATCTTTGTCATCTTTAGAATTGTTGCTACCATAAGATTTACCACCTTAAATCTTTGCTTCATCCTTCATGTTATCATCCTTCCCATCCATTGAATATGCAACATTTTTTAAACAAATTAATAATTTTTCTTTGGTAGCTTCTAGTAAAATACCTAACAAAATTGAATGTGTGCAAATATAATGTGCAGTCAGTTTTTCGGGAGGTATTTGGAGGAAAAAAAGTGTGCATTATATTTGGGCAAATACAGTATATATATATATAAAGTACCTTTAAAACAATATACCTAACTTTATTGGTGAGTATTTTACTTTAGTATGATCTGTCTGCTGTGCTACTAATATTTGAAGTTTTACTACCATAATGAGAGCTGGAACACTAACTTCAGAAGGTAAGGTTTTCTTACTAACCACCCCCAATGGTAGGCAGTGAAGGGTGATATAGATGTGGGACGTTGTGGACTTGAGTACCCACATCTTTTTCTCTTAATCTGTTATTTTTCTTATTTCACTCTCTTATTATTTTTGTTTTTACAAATGGAAGTCAAGACTGATAGGTGGTGGATCCCCACTGCTACGTGGGTCCTACTTCCACAGTCCCCTCCAAAAACCAGGAAACAACTTATAACCCTGTGCCCTGGCGACTTTGTATTGTTGTGCAGGATTTTGGTTAAGGCTTGTTTTGTTTTATAAATATGTTCTATTTCATTATTGTTTGTAATACGGTCTTTCCTTTCTGATGTAAAGCAGGAATGTGCAACGTATGGCCTGTGAGGTGGTTTTATCCAGCCTGCGAGTTGTAAATTTCTGATGAAAACGTTAACCTAATTGTTTAGATAATGTTTATGTTCACATTATATTAATATATACATATATATATAAAAGAAAAGTCTGTACATCTTAATTTTTGTGGAAAAAATATTTAAAACGTTATGACCAGAATGTTCGTATCATCAATGAAACAAAAAGTCCTTACTTTTCTACCAAATAATTAAGTTGCATATTGAACATCACCGTGACTGAGGTGTTACTAAAAGAGTCGAGAATTTCTTACTTACCACAGCACAGACAATAGCTTTAAAATATGTCATCATCATCTCGTCATACCAAACAATATTTCTAGGACATAATCTAGTGTAAGTTTTGTCCCGCAACCACTCTTTTACAAAGAAAACAAAATGAGGAAGTATAAATGAGGGAAAAATAATAAGTTTTTCTTTGATGACTAACAGTGGATTAATTAACATATATAATGAAAGTTACAAATATTAGAATTTCCTTTATTAAATAAAAATGACCATTTTCCAAAGTAATACATTTCTGTATTTGATTCAAAAAAACTTAGGTACAAATCTGTTAATGTGTCATTCTGATACAGTAGCATTTAATCGTTTGAAGGTTTTATTGATTTAGCTTAGGGCTCAGAAAGGTCACGGGAATTCTCAACAAACTATTTACTAAAACTACTGTATTGACAACTCACACACCATACCTGTTGCTGGTTTTGAAACTTTTATATCATGAGTACTATCAACTGAAGTAACACGTTCACCGTTAATGTAGTTGAAAGGGCCTTGTAGGGCTGTAGTTGTTAAACCTTGCTTCATTATCTTAATATGCTGTCTTGATAAGATTAAGAATGATGAGAAACCTAACCTAAACATCAGAATCTTCTGTACAAACCTGAAAAAAACAGAAAGACATACCAATGAATCCTGTAGAATGACGGTTTTTCTGAAACTAACCATAAATTATTAACAGCTGAACTTTAAAAAATGATGCATTTAGTTTATGATATTCTGAGGTATATTTTGCTATTTGTAGACAGTTTGTATACTAGTTATAATACATATGTGGTATGCAGGTATACCATGTATTCTGAGTCTATGAGGCTTTCACCTAATACATGGTCACGAAAGTTGTTAAGCTGATTTCATTTTAACTGCCTTTGTTCATTGTCATTCTATTGAGGTCACACCCTGTCCTGCCCATGGAGAATGCGACTATAATGCTACCAGTTGTACAAGATTGTTGACAGCCAGTGTTCTCCAATGATAGGTCAGATGATGTCTTGAAGTTACAGCCTTTCCTATATTTGAAGAGAATGACCATTCATGTTTGTAGTGCTAGTCATTAGGGGTAAATCTGACGTATCCAATTAAGTAAAAAAAACATTATATTTAAATCTTAAGGGAGAAACTGCAATAGAGTAAACATTCTTGTTCCTGACCTAAAGTGAGTTGTTTGAATGGAAAACATCTTGAGAGAAGAAAGCAAGTTGACAAATTCATGAATGCAGAGAAAGCCAACCATACAGCATCCCTAAATCAAGTACATACACTGTGTTTTTGTTTTTGATTTGAATAATGATTTCATTCATTTTGTAGCTACTCATTGTGCCCAGTCTGTGTACTTTTTTGCTTAAACTTGACGAGTTTATTTAACTTCACTATTATTTCTTAATTTATTCTGTCGATCTCCACATTATAAAGTGGACCTACCCAATACTCTTTCAGAAAAGCAGTTCAACCTGAAAATACCACACAAAAAAATGAAAAAATTTTGGAATATGTAAAAAAAATTTAGATACAAATTTGAAATATCTATAGTTTAAATCTAAACATAAAACTCACTGTTTATTTAAATCTTATCATTTCTGTTTAGGATAAGCCATTTCTCAAAATACTCCAAAGGTAAAAAATTTTAAATGCGTAGAATAGAATATTATTACCTTCTCACCTAAGTTTAAATCAAGCTCAACTGATAAAAATAGCACCAGTTAATAAACTTACAAACTGAGAAAAGTAATACAAGTGTTAAAAATCAAAAGGTTTGAAAATTGAAACAAAAGGAGTATAATCAAAAATACATTGTACTGAGTGAAACACAGATAAGGCAATGTTAAAAGTTAGTTGGCTTAGAACAAAAGAAGTGGAAATTATACTATTTTTTTTATCCTTTCCACAAGAATCTTTTTACATCATAACTTTTCTCACAAAATGGTCTTTAAACCTTCCACCTAACACTAGAGAAATTAGGAAACTCCCATCAAATCTTCATATGACTGCTTGCCTTCCCTCTAGTAATGGCTAGAACAAATATCATTCAAGTAGCTTTGTGCAAACTTCAATAAACCAAACCATCAAATGCATCTTAAAATCATTTATTATTTTTTATTAAACATCATTTAAGTGTTTTCTGGAGAAAAAATATAAAACATTAGATTATCATAATTTGTTTTACATAAAAATAAATAAAACAGATTCCCTTTGTCTACATTATTCACAAAGTGGGATGGAAGAACTTAGGGTCTGGTTGAAATAATTTCTGGGGTAAGATGTGTAGAAAAGATAGAATGGGATAATTTGCTTATTTCCAAAAAAAGATACCCCCCCCTTGGTGTAAGATGAGATATTTGAAGACCTCTTGGAAAGAAAAATTTACATGGCACAAAAAATTCCCTAGAAAAAAATTCATAAAATGTTTAAAATAAGGTGTATTTAAAAAAAAAAAACTTTGGATATCATTTAAAATTTGGAATCTGTAATTACTAAAAGCTTTAAGAGCATGAAAATATTTCAGATAAAATGTGTATAAGTTTTACATTGTAAAATAAGTTGTACTTCATTAGTTCTGAGCTTTGCCTCTGAGTTGCCATTTAGAAATAACGTTTCAAAAATTCAAATTTGCCACTGAAAAAACATGGACAACTGTTTGTGTATCACCTTCACTGAACCTTTTTTTTAGTACCCTATAACTAAAGTAATATAAACAAATCAAAATTAACAGGTCTTTCAGTCACATAGCATTTCATATGTAGCTTAATACATTTCCTAGTTTAACAATCTTTAAACCCCTGAAATAGAATATTTGAGATATACATAAAATGTAATCACCATAGTTCCCATAATAAATATACCAAAGTCTTAATTCATTTTGGGTCTAAAACAAAAAGGGTGAGGTAAGTTACGTAAATATAACTTGAAACATATCTTTTTTAAGAATACCTTTATCTCTGTTCAATATCATGAATTCAATCTTTCTTTTTGGTTAAATACTTTCAAATTAGATCTAGCTAACTTTTGACATTGAGGCTTGTGAAACGTACCTACGTATTTAAACAGCATCACAAATACTGTTAATATCATTACATGTATTAATATGTCTTTTACAGTTTTATTTGAATCAGCAAAGTAATAGTGTTCACTGAAACAGTCAAAATATTTTATCTACATTTTTAAGAATTAAATAATTGAAGTTATTAAGCTCTACTTAATCAGCAAATGAAAAATTAATTGCTAATCATCACCTGTTTCAATTCTTCCAAGCTACATCATTAATAATATACTAAGAGTTTATTTATACTTTACGAATACAAAGTGTATGATCACTGACATTGCCAACTAGTTTATTAAACTGCGCTGCTCTTAACTAAACACTGCCTTTGAAGTCAAACACAATAATATTAATAGCGCAGCAATTACTCTACTTTTTAAAATTATAATATAATTTATAATATACATTAAAAACAAAATCTCACCATTCAAAAAGACACACATGTATAATAACTTTCCCTGGCAGCAGATGGCACTGTATAAATACAAAAAAATGTTTTATAAACATATATTTTAATTTTACCAAATAAAAAAGTATTTCATATTATGACATGAGTAAATATAAAATTGCAAGAAACTAAAATAAAAATATTTTGTTATGTTATAACGTTTAAACTTTACATCTAGAAATTGTTAACAGTAAATATATAAAACAGATGTAAATTTTTTGACTGGCCCTCAGATAGCATAGTCTTATGTTCCATACGACTTTACACGTATCATATGTTAGAATCCGCGCCTTTGTATCGTGCTATATTAGCCTTGAACCAGTATGACAGTATCACGTGATTGGAGCAAAGTCCGGTCTGAATGCCGGCACAATATTATGTTGGAGTTATCGTGAAGGCGTGTGAACTATTACTTTGAAATTCATCTGGTCCTCCAGGTGTACCGTTTTTGAGATGCCTGTTTTAAAACATTAAAATAGCATTTGAGAACTTTGATGCGCCATACTCTAGGATTAAAACGGAATAATATGTTATCCATACATGTATTTTACGCATATTAATACCTATAAAATTCGTTTAAAAAATCAAATGTCAATAAAACAAAGTATAATTTAAAAATTAAAACAATAATTCTACCTAACACTTTTAAGCTTGTGAAATAGCGACTTATAGGTTAGTATAATTTTTAATCATATTAGTAGTACTTTATAAATTAAAACCATGTCTTACTCAGTTGACCAAGATACATTTTTTTCTTTAGTGTTTTCCATTACAAGAGTTGGATAAAGCCATAGTAGTTAGTACTTAGTAAAATAAAAAATATATACCAAAGATATTACTAAGCAAAACAATGAAACCGAGGGTACAGTGAAATGTATACAAAATACCCGCAAACTGAAAATGCAGTTAATTTCAAAAACAGAAATTTAATAATTACAATTGAACATTTTTCTTTTAGATATTGTATGTGTTTGAGAATAGATATATGGCTTCAAACTTCTTTTTACATACTTTATATTGCTAAGAAGAAAATAAAAAATACATTTGTAAGTGTTTAACAATATTATTCCCACAAGCTTGAATAATAAAGTATAGTGTGTGCTGCGTTTCCTTCAAATTTTATTGGACTGGGTGTAGCCCATCAGTAGGAGTGTCAGAATTATGAATCCGAAGATTCGTGGGTCGACACCCATTTCTGTAAAAACATGTGTAGCACTTTTGCGCCCTTGGTTGACTACAAGAGTAAAAGTCAAATCCTATTAGTTCCAATAAAACCAACCTAAATGTTTGTAATCAGTGTTGTTGATTGGATGCCTTCTCCCCAGTATATCAGTTCAAAATTAAGGGCGGCAATGTCCAGATCGCCCTTTGCGTAGTTTAAACGTAAATTATGAAATTAAAGAAAATCAAACTTTTATCCAAAGGCTTATGAATTGGAAAACTGTTCATTGAAAGTCGGAAGCGTTGCTGTTTGGGCCGATTGTTTTTTTTTTCTTGAATATTTTACAAATAATATATACTAATTACCTTTTCATATATCATTTCTGATTTTTCCCCCAACATTTACAAAATTTCACTCTTTTGTTTTTGTTAAACTCAAAAGTACACAAATAAGTTATCTTTGCTGACTTACCGCTGAGCCACTAGGGGGCACACCTTTTTGTAGTGGTACAAAATTCAAATGTTTGTTTACAATAAATTTACTTATTTCCCTTTCTTGTTTCGTGGTGTTCTTTTAGTTACGATTTTTAAATTATAGTTGTTTATTATAGAAGATTCAGTTACTGATTGGATGATGCACTATACACTATATTAACACGGTGTAACTCCTCTTGACATGATTAACTGCTGCTACTTTACAAATCATGTATCGTCTAGGTTCCCACTCCTATTGTATGTAGTTTGTCTTTATTACTGTTAAAAAAGAAAATAAAAAAACAAATCCCGATCAGTTGACAACGCCTGAAAGACTGTGGTTAAATCTTTGAAATAACCTATCTATATGATCTCAAATATATTCAATAGACTTAAGATCTAGGTACTTAGCAGACAATTCTAAGACTTATGTTGTTACTTTAAAACTAGGCATGGGACAAACGCGCTTAACGACAGAAAACATTATCTTGTTAGAACAACCGGGAACGTCGTTTCACAAAAGATTTAAGGTGATGAGGCCAAAGAAGACTAACCTCGCGTGGGTCATACAATTCAGCTGAGGACTCTACGATGTGGTGTAATTAAGATTACGTAGTCTCATGTTTAAATTTGAAACTGCAGTGGAAACCTTTAATTTATAACACGTAATAAAACTTCAAAAATACATTTAATTTTTTTGGAAATAAATTTGTTTAAAAGTTGTACGATTTTTACTGTAAATAATTTTGAACACTCCATTCTTAAAGGATGTAATGATAATTGCCAGCAAGACTGAGTTAT